CTAATTTCTAATTCAATGCTCTGTGATTGGAGGATGTCCCTGTACCTTTGCGGTTGACGTTTTATTGCGCATTATCAATAACCTTTTCCTTCTGTCAATAGCTTATTCACATCCTTGGACATTTTTTTCAATTGGGATATTAGTGTTTGTCTTATTAGTTTGTAGGGACTCATTTAAATTAGGAATAATCCTTCATCAATTGTTGAAAACAATGTTTCCTTGTTTAACTCTTACTTTGTATAATCTTCCTTGCTAACCTTTAGAAGGGAAGAGAGGAAAATATCTTGACTGTAGCTTAAGACACACGAACAGACAGTAACTCAAGGACTTTGCCTCTCTTAAAACTATCATGTGTCTGTAAGAACTGGCTACACAACATTTTACCTCCAAGGTTATCAAAGTTAAAAAATAAAGAACATATTTTATGGCCTTGTTTAACTCTTACTTTGTATAATCTTCCTCGCTAACCTTTAGAAGAAGGGAAGAGAAGAAAATATTTTGACTGTAGCTCAAGACACAAGAACAGACAGCAACTCAAGGACTTTGCCTCTCTTATAATTATCATGTGTCTGTAAGAACTGACTACACAATATTTTATCTCCAAGGTTATCAAAGTTAAAAAATAAAGAACATATTTTATGGCTCTTCAAGATAATTTCCTTGGTTGCTAGTTTGGATAAGCTCTCAATGATTATCTTGTTAATTATAAAAGTTGATAATACCTCGGGGTTTAAAGATATATTTTATTGAGTTTTTACAGAGAGGAAGGCAGAGGGAGAGCTAGAAACATCGATGAGAGAGAAACATCGATCAGCTACCTCCTGCACACTCCCTACGGGGGATGTGCCCGCAACCAAGGTACATGCCCTTGACCAGAATCGAACCGGGGACCCTTCAGTTCGCAGGCCGACGCTCTATCCACGGAGTCAAACCAGTTAGGGGCTGATTTATTCTTTAAGTCATGGGATATAAAAGTGTTTTGCTTCAGATAAAATGGATGATGTCTGGGATTTGCCTCAAAATAATATAGGAGAAAGTGAGTGAGGGTCTTGGTCAAGAGTTCATTATTCTTAAAGCTGGATGTTGAACTCATGAGAATTCATTTATACTTCCTTGCCTACTTTTTTTTAAAATTATATTTTTATTGATTTCAGAGTGGAAGGAAGAGGGAGAGGAAGATAGAAACATCAATGATGAGAGAGAATCATTGATCAGCTGCCTCCTAAAAGCCCCCATGGGGATCAACCCGGAACCCAGGCATGTGCCTTTGGAACCCTTCCATCTGCAGGCTGACGCTCTATCCACTGAGCCAAACCAGCTTGGGCCACTCTGGTTTCTTAATAAGCCCCCACCTAGGGCCTCATGTGAGCCAGAAACCTTCCTGTAGAAATGCGCATGAGGCCTACCTCTCATCCTCCCAATTTCCCTGTGCTGCAGGGCTGCTTATCCCCATTTTAAAGACAGAACCGAAGCTCAGCGAGGTGAGTGACATGCCCAGTCAGTGCCAGAGCTGGGGTTCCAACCCATGACTCATGCCCACCACTCAGGGCCTTTTTCCATGACCTCACGGTTGCCTCAGCAATCTAAACCACTCCTCCATCAACACTCCCAGGCCGATGATCCAGGCAGCCATATGGGACTAGTCATGGGATTTTCCCAGACTAATTCTGACATGTCTTTCATAGCAGCAAAGAGCAGCTGCACAGCAAATGGGATGTCACTGGCTGGAAATGGCACCCTGCCCGCCGCCTGGCC